ATATTAATCTGAAACAGTGAAAATTTCTGCCATCTTCCATGCTTTCAAACATTTTTTCTCCCGTAAATAATTGCTTAAAACTTTATCTTTTATAGTTATCCTATGCTAAACATCCAGAATTTCTTTTGTTTACCATGTGTTTACTAGAAGGATGTTTTTAATCCAAGGAATCAGCCAGGAAAGCCAACGGCTTGGCAGAATTTAGGTCATTAATTAACATGCATGAATAGATTATAAAATAAAATTAGATAATAAAATAAGATAAGATTGTGCTTAAATTTTCTTTAGTTTGATGTTCTATATTTTCTTTAGTTTGATGTTCCATATTTCCTTTAGTTTGATGTTCCATATTTTCTTTAGTTTGATGTTCTTTATTTTCTTTAGTTTGATGTTCCTGACTTGTGATAATAAGCTCAAGGCAACAACTTTATGTGTTTTTAAATGTCTGATATATAAAGTTCTGTGAAAATTTGTATCATTATCATATTAATTTGGATAATAAATATTTCCTCGAAATAAGCTACAGCTTTACTTTTCCCCAAATTAATGTCAGGTATCCAGTAATTGCTGTGCTGGCCAGATGACAACCCTCATTAACCACGGGCCATAGAAACAGATGATCTTTGCATCATCTTCCTAATAGATCACTAGATCTACAACTGGAACTTCACTTTTTTTGTTTGTACTAGTATAGAGTTAAAGTTAACTCCACCAGAAAGGTCATAATGACCTCTTTGCTGTCCAAAATAGAATAAAGCAGGAGGGCCAGGCAAGCTACCCCACCATGGAAATAAAAAAATAAAAAAAGAAACAAAAGATAATAGAAAACTTTGTCCTGAGAGCAGAAAAATCATGAAGCAAAGTGGTAACAGCCAAAAAGAAGATGCTAAGTTGAATATCCTTCTGGTGACCAGGAAACCAAGACATGGAATGTGAGGACCATGTGGAAAATCAAATGCAGGTGGCAGCTAAAATGAGAAAGAACATATCAATAATGGGCCTATGTGAAACCAGATGGACCCAAGCCTGACAGCTTTGACTGACGTAAGGAGAACTCTTATTGTACTCTGGGCATGAGAATGATGCTCCACACAGACAAGGAGTAGGGCTTATGTTATCAACTCAAGCACAAAAGGCACTAATTGGATTGGAAGCTTATGGACCCAGGATAATTACAGCAACCTTTAGAACTAACAAGCAGAGAATAAAGCTGAATCTCATTCAATGTTATGCCCTCATAAATGAAGCTGAGGAGGAGGATAAAAATCAGTTCTACACTATGTTGCAAAGGATCTTTGCTACATATCCAGACAAAGAGACCCAAATGCAAAAATAGGAGGTGATAACTCAAGGAGATCATGGGCACTCATGCTCTTGGAGAAATAAATGAAAACGGAGAAAGATTCTATAACTTATAAATGTGCTCTTAACAACTTGGTTATAGGAGGCAGAATATACTATTTTAACACAAAATCCATAAAAACAAATCAAATGGAAATCACCAGACTGAAAACTATATCGACAATATAAGCAAAATGTTTGGAACATCTTTAAAAGAGGTTAGGATAAGAAGGGGGCAGACACTGCAACTGACCATCATGTGGTGGTAGCTAAGCTTAAACTCAAATTAGAGAACTACCAGACCACAAGCACACAAAGAGAATGAGAAACAATGTCAGACTATGAAAAGATGCCAAGGTAAAAGAGGAATTCAAGCTGGATCTAAAGAGTACTTAATATGAAGTACTTCAGGAAATCAATGAAGATGTACAAAATAATAATAAATAAAACCCAGTACCGGTACTTTCCCAGGATCTACACTGTCCAACAATGTTTTATGGTTGTTTGAATTATGACTCTGAGGAGAACTCGAGTATGACATGCCAGGTTCTTCAAGAGTGATGGTCTTCTCCAATACTTAATCAGTAAGCATGGAGAATCTGCTCTTCAGCATGACATTCCTAACAGGACTCTCAATCTGATTTGGAGGTTTGTTTCTTGGCGGTGTTATCTTCTGAGTCGAAAGATGATGGGGATGGTGTCCATCTGTGTGGCTATGGACTTTCCAATTTTGACCACATCAGAGCTGATTTCACCTGGCTGAAGGTACACCATTTCTTGCTTTACACTCCTGTACAGCAACCTCCTGTTTCCACACTGGAGTACACTGAGTGGCCAGCGTGACAGTTTGGGCACTTGAACATGGCCATGCAGCCTCTGTCCTCATGACCCTCCACAGCTTATCTAGCACACACAGTGTTCTTCCTATAGACTGCCACACTGTGTCCAAAACCCTTACACTTAAATGGGGTTAGGGATGTAGGGCCTCACTGGAACTTGTAGGGATCCTAATTTAACATACTATGTCCGTGTCCTAGTTTCAAATGTGAGGATAATAGTGGCAGTTTTGACCTCATCATTATCCCTATGCCTGATAATGTGTTGGTCATGGTTGACTCCTTCAATTCATAAAGCCCATCACAGTACAGCTCAATATCAACCTCCAAGAGTAACTTGGATGATTTCTGAAGTTTGGTCACATTTTTGGGCCTTCAGTGCCTTGTAGATAAGAAAAGGGCTCATCTTTGTCAGGCTTTTCCTCCTATGTGCACCTTATCACCAGAAATGATGGACAGGTAATACAACCTCTTGAGCCCTACTTCGTTTTTTTCCTACACCATCCTTTGCTTCTTGCCCTGACTTGTATCCTGGGCAAGTAATTTTTGTTGGGTTTTATTTTCCATGTCATTTAATTCTATTCAGCTCCACACTCGCCACCAAGTCCAACAAGGGGACGAGCCAATCAGATGTCCAGAATGATCTTGCCAGGTACTATACTAATTCAGCTGCTGCATCAGGCATGTTAAAGATACTAAAACTTCATGATTGAACCTTTGGTTACCACCTTTCAGAATAGGTTGATGACCCATGCAGGTAGATTAGCAGGACCATCAGATTGAGCCAGAGTGAGCCTTCTGGGCCTAAGGTCTAGAAGATCTTGGAATCAAAGTACTGTGTGGCAGTAACCAATCTTCAGATAGGTACCCACTAAAATGCAAGGATCTCTTTATCCCCCCCTTCAAAAAACAAACCTCATTTGGGCAGATGTTTGAGACAAACATCCATAAAAAGTTAAAAAGATTCGAGAAATAAAAAAACACTCTTTGGTTCAGGATTTTGTGATTTTACCATCACAAAAGAGATACAAGACACCAATAGCAAAGACAGACACAAACACTCTATTGTTCCCCTGGCAATCAAATCATTAAATAGAAACAATCTGATATAAACTTTTCACATGTAAATTATGAGTGAGTCTGGTGTGAATGTACATTTTGTTTTTTTATAGCAATAGCAAAATAATGTTTTGTTTGGTGTAATGCACAAATTGTAAGACAAATTTCCTAACGGAAAATAAAGATTATTATTATTATTAACTATTACCCATTGCAGTCCATGGCAAAGGACCAATCTCTCCAAATAGGGAAGTTTTTAAGAAAAGGAGACAAGAGTTATGGGTAGTGAAGGCAGACTGAGGCAGAAACAATTACAGAAAAGAAGAAGGGCACTTTTGAGCTCTAAAAGTGCCAAACAAAGAGAAGCATTCAATGTTTTTAAAATTACAGGTTTAGCATTTTATTAAAATATCTATAATTACCTGAAATTCTGGACTTGGCATTAAAAAAAGTCTAATACCAATAGCTTTACTACCCCATCTAGCCTCTGTCCAAGAGGAATAATCTCCAGAAGTCAAATCATACTCTAATTATGAAAAAAGAAAATATGGAAAAGAAAATGAAAGGTATTATAATTCTGCACTCTACATATTGTCTAAATCGGGGGGAAAAGGGGGGAGAAATCTTTTCTATCGAGGGCTGCATTTAAAAAAACTTTGGGAATGGGGGCTGCATATAAATATATATATATGTATAATTTCTTTTAATTCACATTTACACGGCATTATACATTTACATTAAATTTCTTACACTCTCAATTGGAACAGTATATCAAAAGTTAGCAATTTCTTAAACTTTAATTTTACTGATATTTTAATTTTATTATTGTTTTTTTTACATCCCAACATTTCACCCCAAACAGAGATGCCAACATGCTAAAATGGAAATGTGAATTTTGAGGGGCAAATGTGAATTTTCCTAAATATAAAGAAATATACTCAGGAAAGACTAAAATCATTCAAGCTCGTAACATACACAAAATGCAGCAATCCAAAAAATTTAACACAGCATTAAGTTATAAGACATTCTGAACATTTACACTTTTAGTCTTTATGAAAGATTTATCTAAAATGTTTGAATGATGCCTTTCTTGTCACATTTAATGATTATAATGCCTCTAGTGTTTTATTCTGATTCCATTATAGCACCAATAGAATATAATAACAAAAATTGTAAAGATTTTTTTTCAGATAATCTAATTAGTCATTAAACTTGTTTTTAATTTGGAACCTGGGCTATAGAGTCTGCTGAATAAAGATAAACTCTCTAGCTGTTGTAAGATAAAGTTATTTAATCTGAGTTCGGATGCTTGAAGTTGTTTTAGAAAACAAACAGATGTTTTGAAGGAGGTCACAAGGAATCAAGAATGTAATTTTTTTTTCTGCATAACAAAAAGCTTTTCTTTTGCAAACACACTCAGCCTTGAATGTCCCTGATTTCATTCTCTGAAATTAGGCTTTCATGAGTAATGCAGAGATGCCTACATGCCAAAATGAAAATGTGTTTTTTGAGGGGCAAATGTGTATTTTCCTCAACATAAAGAAATATATTCAGGAAAGACTAAAAATCATTCAAGCACGTAACATACACCAAATACATCTATCCTAAAGTTAACACAGCATAAAGTTATATAAGACATTTTGTACATTTGTCAAAGTATTTAGACTTTTAGTCTTTGTTATGGATTTTTCTAGAAAATGTTAGAATGATGTTTCACTTTGCAATGATTTTATGATCATAATGCCTCTAGTGTTTTCTACATTCCTTAATTGCAGCAACAGAAAATTCATTAAAAAAAAAAGGAAATTTTTGTTACAGGTGAAATTAGACTTAAACCAGATGTAATAGTTTGCTTAACTACATCAGTGACATCTATTTCTATAAAGGTACTTTTGTTTATAGGCAATTTCTTTACAAGGTATCCAAACACTGGAAATATTTTATCACATTTTGAAAGAATTCAGATTTTCTTCTTTCAGACCATTCTTCGATAAGTTAGCAACAAAAGCTTTGGTATCCTCTACAATCACTAATAACAAACATTTTAAAGATTTTATTTCAGGCAGATAATCTTTGTCAGGCTGTGGTACCCAACATCCAAATGTTTTGTTTTCAAATCTTCAAGTGGGCCTAATTCTCAGAACTGCATGTAATTTAGATCATTAACCCAATAGCTCCTATTTCTGGTTAGGAAAAACCCTCCCAGGCCCTAAGCAAAGAGGGTAACCCCAAATTTAATAAATCCTAAAAAATAACTATTTTGAAAAAATAATCAAATTTAAGATCTAATACTAATAAATAAACAAACTTAAAAATAGAACAATATGTCTAGTTTAAAAAAAACATACACTTTTAATACCTTTAGAATATAAAAAGCTTTAAAAATACTAATTTTTCCATGTGGGGGCTTATACACTGGGGCTATGGGCCTGTTCCTGATGTTACTAAAACTAAAATCAGTAATCTCCAAAATGATTTGTAATAACGCTTGCAACGAGACTAGAAGAAATCTTCTAATTAAAAAGTTTGAAAAGCAAGTATATTGACAAGGGGATTTTAGAAATGTTCTACAATGGTTTAGGACTAAAATGAGAAAATGTTTCCGACTGGAAAGGAGCTAATGGGTTAAAGTAACTGGGTCAATAACATGTTTGATATTCAAAACAGTTTTGCACAAACTTTCCCATGTTGAGATAAGAATTTATGGTTGGGCTATTGTTTTTTAATTTTATCAACAAACCTACGGTATCTTTTTCTCAATCACAGCACAATCAGTTGTTACACTCGCCATCTTGTTCCATGCCAACCCAACACTTAAAAAAAAATTCTTCAAAGCATTGGATAAATACTGGCCTGAGTGTGTCTTTGACTGAATGTTTTGACTTATTGCCAACAAGAATAATCTTTGTTTACTTTTAAACTTTTTAGAACAACATGTATAGGCAATGTTGTTTTAGCCTCTAAATCATTAGAATCAGAAGTTTGAATAATTTATATAGTAATTTATAATTATTATTTTTATATAAATGCATTTTTATATATATAATCTGTGGGCACACCTAATATTTGTAGGTGTCCGCGGGCTGCATAATACACTTCCGCAGGACACAAATGGCCTATGGACCGTAATTTGCCCACACCTGGTCTAAATAGTCAAGCACTTCACAAAACTTACCATCTATTTCAAAAGCTGGGGATACTGCTTTGGTATAATGAACTATTGCTTTATAGCACCATCCTTGTCTATCATTACTATTATTTTTTAAAGAACCTTGCATCCAAGTGAAGCTAAAAAGCTGAAAAGAGAAATACATGGGCAGAATGTGAAGCTTATAATGTTTATGATGTTACATTTCAGAGAGGTTCAATTATTATTTCTCATTTAACAGCAGGTAAACTCTATCATATAAATAAGCATAGGCTAATTTAGCAGGTTGAAGTAAGAAAATAAAGGAATTTATGACTAATTCCTTGTTTTACAAAGGGTTCGAGCACTGGGAAAATGTGGTACAGCAGATTTAGGAATATTTAAGACTGTTACAATTCTATTTTCAAAAATAGTAATCAACATTGTAAATCCACTAGAATAGCTTGACAGGAAAATTGTGTATATTATAACATTGGTAGATACAACTACTAAGTGGCTAGCGTACAAATGTCTGCTGTTATTAAATCCTAAGCAATATATTGTAATGTTTCTCACTATCCAGGCTCTACTGCACCACATGACACTACCAACTTAAAGAACTTGACAACTTAGGGCTCCAAAATAACAGTTTAATGTCCAATAAATTACAGCTAATACTGTACAATTGGCAAAACTTTGCACCGACTGTACAAATGTTTTTCTGTTAAAAACCGTACAGCCGTATCAACTCTTGCACAGGCCTCTCCACCTCGTCCTGGACGTGCACTGGGTTAAACTGTTAAGGACTTTCACACAATGGGCTCATTGTGTCAGACTTGAATGCAGATCAAGATAAAGACGCTGTATCGCACTAGCAAGGTGTCTGGACTGTACTTAACAGTACTTCGCACCCAACCATTGTAATGTGCCGAACAGAACCACACTTCTGAACCAAGTCATTTGTAGTGAACCGGACATTAGTGAATCTGGACTGTACTGAACCCGGACTGTCGTGTACTGTCTTGACCAGGAGTAGCTAACCTATGGAGCATGCGCCAAAAGTGGTGCATTGCACAATTATAAGTGGTGCATTTTTCCCAAGAATGGAATTTTCAGCATTGAATTTCTTTTGTCAATATGTATGCTCTTTCTTTTTGTTAGCCTAAGACATTTTTTATGTTACCTGTTTAAGCTTTTCGTTTTTGAACAAAATGAAGATAATTTCAACATTTATAAAGACCTTAAGCACTATAAAAAAAAAAGCAGATGGTAAAAAATATTTAAGGAAGCAAATTCATGTATAGGAAATCATCAATTAAATAACGTTACTAAAGTAAATTTAGCCGACTATGACTGGTAGAGTTACTGGAACTGTAATCTTGTTTATGCCTGTCAGATACTGATGTGAGCAAGCATTTTCATTCATGAAAATGATGAAAAACAAACAGAGGTCACGAAATAAACTCTTAATATTACAGATTTTGTGAAAGCAAAGCAAATTTTTAAAAGTTGCTAAAGCTAATCATATATACTAATCGACCATCTGCGTAGCATACGCCGCTATTTTGCAGGGCAGCCATAGGCCACAGCAACCTATCCGACCGCAGTGGGCCCCACACTTTCATAGGACCCACACTAATTCTAAGACTAAATTATTTAATTAAACCATTTTATAACTTATAACAGATTTCTCGGGGCAGTCTGATTTTCCAGGAGCTATGGAAATCTCCTGAAATAGCAAAATATATGAAAAAGTCATGGAAATCTCCGGAAATTATTAAAAAATTAAAACTCATACAAATCTCATGAAATATATAGACAAAAATTGACATTTTGGGGTGTCATTCAATATGGAAAACGCCTATTCTACAGGCGATAAATAAAAACGGCATTATGCATTAGTTGTAATTGTGTAATCTGGTGAAAGAAGCTTCTCGCGCCTCAAACAGCCTGGGCGTAGGTCTTTGTCAAGCCAAATTGGCCCTTGGGTAGGGCCAATACAGCCGATTTCGCCTGGCTGAAGGTACATCCATTTCTTGCCTTGTACTCCTGCACGGCAACCTCCTGTTTCCACACAGGGCAGTCCTTGGAGTAGGCTGAGTGGCCAGCATGACAGTTTGGGCATTTGAACTGGGCTGTGCAGCCCTTGTCCTCATGACCCTCTCCTGCACATCTGGCACACACAGTGTTCCACTTGCAGACTGCCGCGCCATGTTCATAACCCTGGCACTTGTAGCACCTCATGGGGTTAGGTATGTAGGGCCTCACTGGAACTCGTAGGTATCCTGCCTTCACATACTCTGTCGGTGTCCTAGTTCCGAATGTGAGGATAATAGTGGCGGTTTTGACCTCCTCACCATCCCTGCGCCTGGTAATGCACCGGGCATGGGTGACTCTTTCAATGCCCTCCACAATTTCCTTCTCGGAACATTCCAGTAGGTCCCTAGAGCTGATTACACCTCTGCTGGTGTTCAGACTCTTGTGTGACATGACTTCCACTTGGAGATCACAGAGTCTTCTGCATCTTAAAAGCCCATCAGAGTGTATCTTGCTATCTACTTCTACAAGAAGTTCCATTGACTTGTGTAGCTTAGACACACTCTTGGGCTCTCCCACTACTGACTTGAGTCCCTTATAGATAAGAAAAGGGCTCAGCTTTGTCAGGCTTTTCCCCTCCTCTGTGCACCTGACCACCAAAAATGAGGGCCAGATAGTACAGCTTTTTGTGGCCTCCTCCTTTTTTGCCTCAATATGGCTTCTCTTGCCCAGACTTAAATCTGGAGCAAGTGGTTTATTGTTTTTTTTTTTGGCCATATATATTCTTGTTAGTTCGGCACCTGTGCTTCCCACCCACCACCGAGTCCAATAAGGGGACGGACCATTCAGAGGTCCAGAATGAGCCCGCCAAGTCTACACAGGTGCTATACTCAGTCAGCTGCTGCATCGGACATGTGTCCGATACAGCAGCTCCCTGATTGGCCCTCCAGCCAAGTTCTTCGACCTATGCTGGTACCTCGGCATGACCCAGAGCGGGCCATTTGGATGTCCAGAATGAGCCCGCCAAGTCTACACAGGTGCTATACTCAGTCAGCTGCTGCATCGGACATGTGTCCAATACAGCAACTCCCTGATTGACCCTCCGACCTATGCTGGTAGCTCTGCATGACCAGCCAGTTGACCCAGAGCAGGCCATCTGGGCCTCAGGTCTAGGGGAACTTGGAGCCAAAGTATTGTGTTGTGGTGGTTTATCCTCAGATAGCCACCACTCAAACACCAGGATCTCTTTATCCCCCCTTACCGTCGCAGTCCACGGCAAACTGACTGGTCTAGGACGTAGTGAGATTTTAAAGATAAGGAGACAGAGTGATGATCAATGAAGGCAGACTTAGGAAAAGAGGAGGCAGACACGATGATAGAAAAGAAGTAGGGCACTTTTGAGCTCCAAAAGATCTAAGGAAAGAGGAGCGCAGTTTAACGTCATGTCTCGGGATGACCCTCTTTCCTGAGCTATGCCTTTTAGCCTCAACATGGCAATCAGGTGGTAGTTAAAGGAGATGATTAGGTCAACAGGGAAGCAAAACAGAACCCCCGTTGGGGTGAATGAGTCTATTGCACTGACGAGGATGGAAGAAAGACACAATGCCATTACTCAAGGGGACATTTTTATGGCATACACCTGCATGGTTGATGTGGTACAGAGAAGAGTTCCCTAGTGTGCTTGGCATTTGGCCTCACTTCTAACCCAAGCACATTGCGTCGACGGCATGTAACGTTGGTCAAGGAAATTTGTAGAAAGGTACTTCCAAGAGAAAAGCATTTTGCCATCAATGGAATGTCTGGCAATCATCTGTCTGAGTGTCCGACTTGTAGACAGATACCTCT